ATATGGACAAAGGAGCGTAAGAGAGACTTCTCAAAAGAAAAAGTAAAAATGGCAAATAGACACATGAGGAAATGCTAAACATCCCTGGCCATAAAGAAAATGTAAACCAAAACACTCTGAGATTCTGATATTCCATCTCACCGCAGTTAGATTGGCCATGGTCAAGAATCTGAACAATAAATGCTGGCAGGGATGTGGGGGAAAAAGGAGTCCTATTGCATTGTTGGTGGGAATGTCAACTAGTACAGCCATTCTGGATGGTGTCCTGGAGGTTCCTCAAAAATCTAAACAGAACTTCCCTATGACCCACCCTTACAACTTTTGGGCATCTATCCAGAGGTTACAAGCCAGGATACCATAAAGACACTTGAGCATCCATGTTCAAGTGTGAATAGCCAAGTTATTGGCTTTTCACAATAGCCAAGTTATACAAACAACCCAGATGCCCGACAACAGATGAGTGGATTAATACAACACGGTACACATACATAATGGAGTTTTGCTCATCCATTAGAATAAGATTATGTCATTTGCATTTGTTCTAGGTCCTAGAACAAATAAAGCTAAGTGAGGCAAACCAAGCTCAGAGAAACAAACAGTGCATGTTTTCTCTCAAATGTGGAAGCTAGATCTAAAATACAACTGGACATGGTAACTTATATGAAGCTCTATGTAGTCACACACACACACACACACAGAGTCAGACAAAAAGAGCATACGCTTAGGGGAGGAACCCAAAGGTGTAACTTCTCTCAACATTTGCAATACGATTTACACAAAACAAACTCCAAGAAATGGAAACATGGGTTTTATTGTTGTTATTGTTGCTATTGTTGTTGTTGTTGTTTGTTTGTTTTTGTTTTGTTTTTTCATTTAGGAGGGGCAAAGAGGGGTACAGAAACGGAGGGAGGAAGGATTAACAAACGCAATCATGATATTCAGTGGAAAAATCACCTATGTAACTCGTGGACAGGAATGGAACATAGAAACTGGGGGGAAATAAAGGAAAGGGTAACACTGTCCTAAAACAAAAATGTATTCATTGCCTGACTTATAAAATGGTAGCTCCTCAGAACAGTGCATTAAGAGCGGCAATAAAATCATTATTTTTTAAATAATTATGTGCATGTTCTATAAGTTGCATGTTGCTTTGCCTAAGGCATTTTGGGGCATGGGTGGAAGGCAGTGAAAGACTAGCTCCTCCAGAAGAGATGAGCTGAGGAAGATGGCTTTGGTGGCAGGAGAAAGGCCAGCCTTTTCTCTTGCTTGGCTCTGGGCAGATTCTCCCCAATGCTGCCAAGGCATGAGCCTAACCCCTTTCCTCCCCTCCCCCACCCCTGTCCTGCATGACCCCTCATGGTCTGGCACTGAAATCTGTCTCTAATGTTGCATTCTTGTTCCTCAAAAATGGCTCCCTAGCAAGGCGCCAGTGGCTCACCCCTGTAATCCTAGCTACTCGGGAGGCTGAGATCTGAGGATTGCAGTTCAAAGCCAGCCTGGGCAGGAAAAGTCCATGAGACTCCTATCTCCAATAAACCACTCAGAAAACTGCAAGTGGCGCTGTGGCTCAAGTGGTAGAGTGCTAGCCTTGAGCTGAAGAGCTGAGGGACAGCGCCCAGGCCCAGAGGTCAGGCCCTACGACTGGACCCAAAAACAAAAAACTAACTCAAAGTGAAAAATTATAAACTTAGATGTAAAATGTAAAACTTCTTTTTTCCTAGTGTGGGGCTTAACTCAGGGCCTGGGCACTGTCTTTGAGTTTTTTGTTCTTGCTGTTTGTTTTGGTTTGTTTTTTGCTGAAGTCTAACATTCTACCACTTGAGCCTCAGCTCCATTTCCGCCTTTTTGGTGATTAACTGTAAACAAGAGTTGCAGGGTCAGGCACCTGTGGTTTGAGGACCATGGTTTGAAGCCAGCCAGGGCAGGAAAGTCAGTGAGCCTATCTCCAATTACTCACAGTAAAAACCATAAGTGGAGCTGTGGTTCAAGTGGTAGAGTGCCACCTTAAGTACAAACACTTAGGGACAGTGCCCAGGCCCTGGGTTCAAGCTCCATGGTCATCATGTGAATGTCCACTGTGATAAGTTGACAACGATACCATTGATTTTCTTGTGTTGCAACTGCACTATGATTACCTAACTTGGGACAAACTAGGTAAAGGGACATGCAGTTTCTCTGTATTGTCCCTGCAGTTTCTTATGAATCTATAATTATTTCAAAGGAAAAAATTGAAAACAACAACATTGAAAACCTTCTGTGCCTTCCTTTCAGTCCTCCATGCTGATCCTATTTCCCCAGGAGCCTCTAACCCATATCTGCTGCAAGATTTGTAGACTGAGCCTCACCTGTTCTTCAGCCCCAAAAGCCGAGGGCCTTATCAGCCCTTGTGGAGATGCACTTTGTAACTTGGCAACTTTCACTTGCCCAGTCCTTTTCAACTGATTTATCTTCATGCCCCACAGTCTCACTTCTAAAAACTCAAAGGACAGTATATCCTTATGCTGGGGCCACAGTTATGAGCTTCTAAGGCCCTCAGCACATTGCTGTGTTTAGGAGCTTGGCAGGGAATGGATGTCAGGCAAATGGGGGTCAGTTCCATGGCCTGACCGGGGCTCCAGCAAGAGGGATCTTCAGCTCCAGCCCCACTCAGCTGAGGGCCTGACATTAGGCCCATGGTCAGAGCTGGGCTTCCTCTTGTGGGGTCAGTCAGGGGTTCATATATGTCCCAGAGGGCCAGGCCTTGGGGGGAACTCACCCAGCTCCAGCTGGGACTGAGAAGAAGGAACCAGCCCCAGTTAGGAGGGGAGGAAGGCCCCTAATGGCCTCTAAACAACTGTTTCAGGGGAAGCTGGCATGCTGACCTTGGCCAGCTCCAGCTTCCTGCCCCAACCCCCCAGAGGAATCCATTTAAATAAATATTATATGCAAAAGGAAGCCTGAAGAAAGCAGTTGTTCATGGGTTACACTCATTGCCTATTTAATTTCATTTGTAGCAGGGTAACTTTAAAAATCAATTGCATATTCATAAGCCATACATCTGACAATATCCAAAATATACAAGGAGCTTAAAAAGCTACCCCCCCCCAAACAATTAAATCAATCAACATATGGACAAAGGAGCGTAAGAGAGACTTCTCAAAAGAAAAAGTAAAAATGGCAAATAGACACATGAGGAAATGCTA